TAGTGCTACATTTGATACAATCTGTCTGAATTAGAAAGGTTTGACAGTACTGTAGTATTTAAGGGAACACCATTACGCAAATTTAAGTAATTTTTTTCTCTCTGCCATATTTCAGCTTTTATTGTTAAAGAAAAAAATCTTCCATAATCTCCAGTAAGCTGAATATTACAGAGATGAGTATAAGGTCTATGTTTTCCAAGTCTTTAAAAAAATTAGCAGAATACTCTGTCACTTCATCTGTATGGCGTGTAATTAGCCTCTGATAATACTTTGGTGTTATTTTTGATCAAGAATTGTCAAAGAGACAACTCAACCGGATCATACAGTTAGATTGGTTCAAGGTTTGCTATCTTAGGAAAACCAGCTGACTGCATTGACTTACTGACTCAAAAGCAATCCCTTACCCCAAGCATGCTTGTAGTGACAGTTGAGGGAAAAACTCTCTTTTAATAGGAAGAAACCTCCAACAAAACCAGGCTCAGTGGGAGCAAAAATCTGCCGAGACCGACTGGGGTACATGGAGACAGAAGCAGGCATACAGAGAGAGGCAAGGGTACAAAAGTTAATTCTCAACCAGCCCCACAGGCGTCCCCGTCCAGGAAAAACAAAGCCAGACAGAAATGCTCCGAGCCAGCTCCCATCTTAGAGGATGAAAAAGAGGACATACATTTAGTCACAGTAAGAGAAAGAGGACTACACTGAAAAACAGGCCAGGCTTCAACATCTATAAACAGTATGGCTCTGGGATTCGATGTCCCAGCTCGAGATGATAGCCCAATAGATTTGCTTTCACAAACAGTCCACTGTGATTGTCGCCATAATGTTCTGCTTGTTTTTTGTATATCATATACAACAGACACTGAGACATTAAGGGGAGTAAGAAAGAAAGAGGCCCTAAGAACTAATGAGAGAGAGAAATAGATAGTCAGGAAAGAGTGCATGAAATTGAGAAAAGGAAAAAAAGCAAAAATAGGCTACGTTTACATGGACACAACTAATCGGATTGAAGGCCTGATCAGATCAAAAATGTTTCATGTAAACATGTCAGACTGAAGATTCTAATCCGATTCGGTCCGATCGGATCTAAATTTAATTCCGAATGAGAGAGGTGGTTTTTGCCGATCGCCATTCCGATTGGCGTCCATGTAAACACCCATTCGGATCTAAAGAGTAAAATAATCTTCACTGCGCATGTGTGCGACGTCAGAGTGACGTTTTCCGCCTTGTCAACAACAGGAAATCACCGGTCTCTCTCGCTCTCGCTGTGAACAACATGGCGGGGGGAGTCTAGGAACGCCGACTTATAAGTTAATTTAAAGCTGCAGGAAGCAGGAATTTATCCTCCTCCTCTTCCTCTTCTTCCTCTCCACAGCCCACTCGCTCTCCCACGCCGGTTCAATCGCTGATTCTCTACATTTTCTCTCGGACATTTCGCTGCCAAGCGCTTTTTTCCTCCTCTCTCCTTTTTTCTTTCCGCTCGCTCCGAGCGCTTCGTTTGTCAGGCCTCCCAAAAACCAGACGCAGACAGAACTGCCAAATTTGTCAGGAAGTTCTGCGCATGCTTAAAAGATTTAATCTGATCCAACGCTTGATACATGTATACACACGTCATGATCGGATCATTTCATTTAGTGTCCATGTAAACGGAGATTTTGAATTTCCGATCAACCAAGGTTTGGATCGGATCGGGGAAATTTTGCGCATGTAAACGTAGCTATAGACAACACAGAAGACATACTGTGACTCCTAGAAGTTTGCTTCCAGACATGTATGAGAGTCAAGTGGTAAGAATTCCAGTTAAACCTTAAGACCCTGTTGACTTTTAAGGCTAGGCTCAAATCTTTCCAATTTAAAGGTTTTTGTTAAAGCAGCTGAGGTTAGCTGTCTTTCTGGTTGTGCTTGTATAGGCTTAGGCTGGCGAAGGACAAGGAGAAAACTTTTACTCATTCTGCTTCATTCTATCTCTATTCTCCCATTCTGATATATTTTAGTTCAATTTCTAATTTTATGTTCTCTCTTTTGTTGTTGCAATAGTATCTTCATTTGGCCTGATGTTCTGTTTAACTGTGACTCCATTCTGGAGTGAGGCATCAGCTGGTCTGCTGCCTTCAACAACACTGAATAAATATTATAAAATTGAACCTGGTTTTCAGTGTTTTGCATAATGTAAAGAAATGTTTTGGTGCTCATTTGGGATAGGGTTTTTACTGAAAATCTCCTTATCAAGCCTCGCCTCATACTACCAAAGAAACAACCATGATAACCAGTCAGAGTTTGTAAAGATGGAGGTAGGAGGGCTGAATAATACATTAGATGAAAGCCATTGCTTGAATGATGCGCTGCTACAGACCGCTGTGTACAGCTTATTTCCCCTCATGACATCATGCTTTTTAAACAGAGCATTATGAGCACATGTACTGGAGCTGGAGATAGGCAATGATAGAGGGGAAAGAGTTGTTTTTGTGTTTGTAAATTATACACAGGTTTCAGGCCACATATGATTGTTACAAAATGTTTATAATGTGAACTTTGATGTATATGGGACCTTTAAATTGACTCTAAACTCTGTTGTGATATCACAATATGAAATTACGCTATACAAATAAACTGAAGTGAACTGAATTGATAAAAAATTACTAGAAAGGGAATATGGCTTTTTTCTAAAGCTTGAAATGTTATCTTCAAGCCATTTTCTGGAAGTCAGTGAAATTCCTTTGAGAGCAGTGTTTTTAATGATTTGCACGTTGACAGGATGTGTGCTCAATGTTCCAGGTGAACGTACACCGTTCAGAGAAAAGGGGAAGAGTGTGGGTGAAACTGGGTCAAACTGATGAGGGGTTTCGGGAGGACTGTGTATCAGTTGATGCATCTAAAGACAGTTGATGCAGCTGTGCTTGCCCCAAAGCCAGCTGCAACACTCTGGGCATTAAAGGGTGTAGCAAGCCAAAATTATCAGAAATAACATTGAATACCACAGATCAGTAACTTTTTGGCGGCTGCAAATAATATATATTAAGTTGAGCTAAAACGATGAAAACCATCATAATAGATTAGAAATTACATTTAGATTTTCAGTATGACATTTATTTCAATGGTGAAGGGAATCCATGAACAATGACCTTGCAAAACCCCCCATACCCATTTGATTTTCTTTAACGTTTTTTGAATCAAAACAATATATTTCAATGTTTTTCATAGGATTAATATTTAAGAGACAAAGTAGTGTTATTTGTGTTGGTTCTCTGATATTACGACATTCCTAATATAAATTCTCCAGAAGCTACAGTAAAGTTAACTTTTTGCTGAATAAACTGCCTGTGTGTATTTCTCTGTATAAACCATGCTGTTCTTTGAATACCTCAGGATCTTTAAGACCACAGACTACAGCAGGCAGGTCAGGAATATAACTGTGGAGGTGTTTAAAGCAGGGTTAAACCATTAAACGATTTCTTGGTTATCCCAGCAATCATCTCAGTTGGCAGGAAAATTATTTTATGTGTTGAAAATGTGCTTCTGCATGAACAAACCTATAACAAAATGTTTTACGCACAAATTGGATGTATAGAAAGTTTGACTAATCGCAGTTGCTCCTCAGATGTAACCAGCTCCCTGACTGGTCATCTTGTTTTGTTCTTTTTTTTTTTTTTTGTCCTGTCTGGCAATGTAACAATAAGAATAACTGTCTTGATGCCAAAATGAGCCCAACAGATTTTACTTTTAATGGTGGAGCAGTACAGCTATCGCCATAGTATTCCGTTTGATTTATGCGTATAGGTAGCTTTATTATAACTAAGCAGGGAGTTTTACAGATTATATGGACACTGCAATGTAAGTAGAACATGAAAGGAAAAATAGAAAAAAAGGAGAAAAGATGAAAGAAAGAGGAGATAAAAGGGAAACGATAAAACATCTTCAGTGTGCTTCATCACCTGCAAAGAGATGTAAAAAGAAAAGCACAACCAATGGACATGGTACAAGACATACAATAAAATAACACCTAGATACTATCGCTGAAGTATTAGTAGTAGTATTTAATCTGACATGTATTCTGTGGAACCTGACGATAAGAATATGGGCTTTCTGTATGGAAGTGAATCTCTAAGTACCTGGAACAAAGCACCTGTAGTTGTTTGTGAGAGTGCACTTCTGCATGTAGATTTTATCCAAAGGAAAAATGCTCAATAGTGGTTGTGAAAAGCCGAAGAGGCATCCCCTCAGAACACCGAGGCAAGCGCTGGGGGACCCAAAGTCCCAGACGCCCAAAGGGACTCCAAGAGCAAAGGCGACAAGGAGGGGCCAACCCGAAATATAACCCCCACCAAGGGAGGAGGAGAGGCGGCCCCAAGGAAATACCCCAGCCACCACAATGCCGGAGCACCTGGGAGCCGCGGGGACGAGTCAGCGGGCTCCGCCGGCACCGAGCCACTCTGAAGTGAATCCAGCCATGGGCCCCAGGCAGGCCAGGCTCTGGGGAGCAGCCGCCAGGAATAAGCCAGTAGCCGCCCAGACATCCACCCGCAAACACCAAGCTCCAACAGTGAACCGGCGAGCCCAGGAGCCAGCCAGGGGAAGGGAGAGCAGGACGGGGGAATGGGCTTGAGATGTTCTTGGGAGAGGGAGCAGTTCAGACCCCAACCTGACAAAAAAAAAAAACTGTCTCAATCACTCCTTCCCACTGGTGGCGCTGGTGAACCGGCACTGGAAGTGAGAAGGGAAGTTCAGTGTTTAGTTCAGGTTCAGTGGGAATTTTGAGCTACGATTTGCAAAAGCAGAAACAGCAACTGGACTCACGTTTCCAGAAAAGGTGTCTTTCCGAGAATCCACTCGGTGTGGGTGGTTCCAGAAATAGGTTGACTCATTGGAGGGCGGACAGGGTTTACCCAGGTTAAGTTGGTTCCTAGAGGAGCGGTGGAACTGACTGCCACTTAGATTTCCTGAGGTACTTGAACGGTTCGTGTGGAGATGAATCCCCTGCTCAGTGTGAAGCTCAAACAATCCTTTCGGGGGGAGAAGGTCCAAACCTCCTGTTTGCATCCCCTACTCAGTAGGAAGCTCAAGATGATCCTTCCAGGGGGAGAAGGCCCAAACATCCAGTTTGCAAGATGACTTCCTGCCGAGAGGCAAAGACAAAAAACAACAAGGTTAAGACTCAGGGAGACAAAAAACTCAGTTTGACTCAGCAAAACGCAGCTTGGCTAGAGTACCCAAAACTGGCAAGCACTCTGGCGTCAAGGTAGTGGCAGTCAGCAGCTTAAGAGTCCTTAGGTAATGAGGCAACCATCCGCAGCTGTGTGAAAGGGCCAACGAGAAAACACAACCCACACAAACTGGATTCCTAACAGATATGAGGGGGTTTATCCTTCCAAAGAAATTTAGAGATCAAAGAATCTAGAGATTTAAACCAGTCGGGTGATGGTTTATTGGGGATCAATGAAAATAAGTAGTTAATTCTAGTTAAGACCATCATTTTAATTGTCTACTCTACCTATAAGGGAGATCATTCTAGGTCCTCTTCTATCTTTTTTTAAAAGAGGGATGTGGTTAGGTTTTGGTACATCAGCTAATTTAGATGACACAGTAATTCCTAATTATTTGATATTTCCTGATTGCAGTTGTAAACATGAGGGATTCTGTAGAGAGTAATTAATACTAGTAGTACAATAGATTTAGACCAATTTAAAATAATCTGGGACTTTTGAGAAAGATTCTAGTAATCTAATTACTTGAGAGAGGCAAGTGTTTGAGTGCTGGAGACAAAGTAATACATCATCTGCGTAAAGACTAATTTTAATGCTCTATTTTCATGCCTTTTATACTTTTAACCACATTAGTTTGTCTGATTGTACACTGCATGAAAAGTGAGATTTTCGTCCCCGTAAACCCCCGTAAACTCCCGCAGATCTGCCTGATTTTCGTCAGTTTCCGACAATTTGCAACCCGTGCTTGTCCGCGTTTGTCGTGCCACAAATTGTCGGAAACGGACAGTGACGTAGGTGGAGAGCGATCAGCTGTACTAATGGCCCTAATTAGCATATGAATGTAGCAAACCCGCGCGGCTGGCCAGGTCTGGCTTGAATAACCTTCTCAGTATTGGCTGAAACCACTATTCTCAAACAAATGAAATCGCTCGTGATTGGCAGCAAAACCACACGTGGCCACGCCAGGCTTTAATTTTCTTACTGAGTATTGGACGGAACCACTTCTTTTTAAACAAGTGAAGTCGCTCGTGATTGGTTGGCATATATATATATTTACATATATATATTTATTCATATATATATATATTTATTCATTCATATATATATATATATTCATATATTTATTCATTCATATGCTGTGTATTTATGTTATCCTACACTACTACACAATTATTATGCTACCATCAAGGACATGAATGAATTTATACAGGAAATGAACATTTGCCAGGAAGCTGTTTATGCAAAGAAAGAGCTTTATTAAAACACACACAACTATATACAACGCGTATCCAAACACATGCGTATCTAAAAATTACAACTCCGTGAACGGTCCGTTTGCTTCCTCGGGGTTGGAGGTAACAGGCAGCATTCCCTCCGAGGCAGGTCCGATGTGCAGACGCATACTGTGCGTGGCCTTGTACTTCGACATCGCTTCTAACCGGGACTGCAGCTTAACACAGAGTTCAGTGAGATCCGGCCTACGAAATGGCGGCGACCGTACAATCCATCCAGAGACACCGCCGACGACGCCATCTTCTTCGTCGGACATGAGGTCGACGGTGGCGGACTTACAGAGTTCCACTTCCTCATCTGCCAGCACACTCTGCCTCGCCTTCAGCAGCTGAAAAAAAAAACATGAATCAGCGCACTGCATATGGACACAACACATCTATCAATGCACCTGAAAAATAGTCACCAAATAAAGTCTTACCCTCTTTCGTCTGGCCCGACTCCGAGCAGATAGCCTGGCGGCCTCCGCACGCAGCGTGCTGGCTAGCAGCGTGTATCTGAAGCTCCTGCATACCGTCTCATAATACGTCTTACAGGCAGCTGTAAAACAATTAAATGAGAGTGGTATGAATAAAAAAATAAAAAAAATCAAACGCAAGTCACAGTAACAAGGAAGGAGAAAACATTAAAACAAGTCACTTACACACAATGTCGTCTTTATCAACATCGTGCAAATCCAAACAAATAGGAGGTCACCGCCTCATTGTGAGGCGACTGTAGTCTGTGAAAAAAAAAAAAAGTACAGCTATGGTCGGTATCCATCCGTATCCATGTCCTTTTACCGCAGAATGAAAGCATATTCTTTAAACCTTACCCCTGCCGGTTCATAGCGCCTGCAATTAGTCTCCGAGTTGTTAAGACGGCATAATGCTTCCTGTGAATCACAAAAAATACACTTTAGTAAAGCTTTGGGCTAGGCTGCTTTTAGCTTACCTAGCTAGGCTAGGTTGTCTTTAGCTTGCCTAGCTAAGCTAGGCTGCTTTTAGCATAGCTACCAGTAATCGAACATATTTACCGCTAGCGTGGCGTTGTGCACCCGTCTTCTCTTCCTCGAGTTCGTATATATCCCGCAAAGTTGCTCGACTGCAGATAGGGTGGCCAGATGTCCGGCTTTAGGGCGGACAGTCCGGATTTTCATTGCACTGTCCGGCGTCCGGCGCTGCACCCAGCCGGACGTGTATTTGTCCTCCTTTACCCCCAGATTCCACATACTCCGTCAGCGCTCCGCCCCGCTCACGTACGGAGTACTTGTCTGTCTTCTTCTTCTTCTTGTCGAGTTTTATGGCGGTTGGCAACAAACTGTTAGTAGCATTACCGCCACTTACTGGTATGGAGTGTGGTTCGTGATGGTTTAAATATTGATCCTGATACATTCTACCCTAACTTCTTCTAAACATACATTCAAACATTCACACTTAAAAATATAAACATATTTGTGCACAGCTTTGTATATCATTCCTTCACTCACAAACACGCTTACTATAATTAAATTCTATGGAATAATTTCGTTTTCTTTAGAAATCGAATAATTATTTGTATGTGTTTACTCCCTAAATTTTTCCTCAGTATATCTAATAAATTAACCTTCTCCTTAATGTCTTCAAACTCTCTTCTCATATATCTTCTCTCTTTTTCATATTTATGACATTCTAATATAACATGTTCTATGGTTTCATATTTATCACAGAAATCACATTTGCCCGTTTTATGTTTTTGTATTTTAAAAAGTGTATGATTAAGTCCTGTATGACCAAATCTTAACCTTGTTATCACTCTTTCATCCTTTCTATTTCTTCTTCCATTTCTTCTTTCTCCTACCATCTTCTGAATTTTATAAAACCATCTTCCTGTTTTATCTTCATCCCACCTTTTTTGCCAAATTTCCATAAGTTTCTCTTTAATAATACTCTTTCCTTCTGATTTACTTATTTTAACTATAAAACTAATAGAATGTTTAATTGCCCTTTTTGCCATTTTATCTGCCCTCTCGTTTCCTTCCACCCCAATATGTGCTGGAACCCACACAAATGTAACTATCAGCCCCATGTTTCGTATTCTGAACAGTGTATGATTTATTTCTAATAAAATGTCCATCCTACTATCTGTATTACTTGTCTGTCATGTAAATCAATGAGAGCTGTTCCACATCCTCCGCTCGTCACCGCCCACGTACGTCTTCTCCGTCCTTCACCGTCAAAATACGGAGCTGAGCTATTTTTTGCTCCCCTCCGGTCCGTCCAGATCAAGACCCGCTATTGCAATCGCACCAAACAGAAAAAAGAATGTAGAGAAGACCCGGTTTGTCAAATTAAATTATAGTAAAAACAGATCGGTATCTAGAAATTAGAGCATAGTTTGTATATATTCCCAAAAACTAAAACAATAAATTTAGATTTTATTTCCTGGCAAAACATTCAATTCGGTTTATCCATTAAAGAAAAAAAAATTTGGAATTTTTAATCAATATTCTAATAATTGTAAGAAAGTATTATATCCATAAATGTCGCTATGCAAAATGCTCCCTCCCAATCTCTGCTCTCAAAAATGAACTTTCCCTTTTCAAAAGATGTCTGAGAAAGATGCAGAATTTAAATGCAATTAAATTGTTTGAGTTAATTGAAGAATTTCAGTTGGTAGTCCCCACTGATTAATTTACTTTAACTACTATTATTATTTTATTTATTTATTTTTATTTATTTTATTTTATTTTATACTTTGTTCCAGCCTGTGCATTTAATTTTATTTTTCAAAAGCAGGAGTTGTGATATTTCTTCTTGTATTGAAATATTTGTTATTGACTTGTTATTTGAGATTGTTATTGTTTTCTTATATATTCAATAACAAAAAAAAAAAAGTGGAAATCTAAAAAAAAAAATTAACCATTACAGCCAACTGATTCTGATTAAAACTAATTTTTGAAGTAAATTATTTTGTGTATTTTTTTTACATAACATTTGCATACACAGTAATCTAGCGTACTTTAATTAAATAAATCAATTCAAGCTAAAATGTAAGAGTCTATAATTAGGCTATACTGAGCCTGATCTATTTCTACCATCTATTTGGGGGATATTTATTGCCACACTTTGGGCCACTTAAAACCAATTTAGCATGCTGACCTATGTCCTTATGACCACAGTGTACCAATCTTCTGATGGCTACTTCCAACAGGATAATGCGCCATGTTATAAAGTGAATCATCTCAGAATCATTTCTTGAAACTTTTCCACTTAAGTAATTGTGAATTGAGCATATTGACAGACAACATTTTATTTTTTATCTTAAATGCAAATTTAAAAAAAAAAATTACTGCTCTAAATGTATTGCTCTGTCAGCTAAAGATCTGTTTTGGTCTCTATACTTTAATTAAATAAATCAATTCAAGCTAAAATGTAAGAGGCTATACCTGATCTCTTTGTATCAGAGATTTTCTTACCCAGGGTTGCAGGGGGGGTAAAACCCCCCCTGCAACCCTGGTTTGCATTTGTATAGCTCACAGCATGTTCATTTACATGTTAAAGCCTCCCCTAGAATTCCATGGGGGGGAGGCATGGGGGGAACACTGCCTAAGAAATTCCACGTCAATTTCTGACAATTTACGGGAGTTTTCGTCGAAGCCTGCAAATTGCCGTATACTGCCGCTAACCTGAAGTTCCACGACAATCTACAGTGCCGTATATTGACGAAAATCCCACTTTTCATGCAGTGGTAGCAGCTAGAGGCTCAATAAAAATGGCAAAAAAGTGAGGGGGAGGGCGGGCATCCCTGCCTGGTGCCCCTCTGGAGACAAAAGCTGGAAGATGTTTGATTATTTGTCCTGACACAGGCTGTTGGGAAGCTGTATAAGATTTTTAACCAATTTATAAAGGAATTGCCAAAACCAAATATATGTAGAGTAGCGAATAAAAAATTCCAGTTTACTCTATCAAATGCTTTTTCTGCATCTAAAGACAATATGTAGGATTTCATATTTTTACTGTAGGAATACTCTATTTAATTAAGCAGTGTGTTTAAAATAAAACTTCTTTTGCTAAGAGGTTATTGGCTGACTGCCTTCCTTTAACGAAACCAGTTTGATCAGGGTGGATTTTGAGAGGAGTGACTTTATCTTTTCTAAGTCAAGAGGTGATGACTTAAATGATGTGTGAATAAAAGTTTGGTAGTCAGGTCTGTCCTCCACCACATTTCTTTGGTATTCCCTCTAGCCCTGTCTGTGCACTGAAACCCATATGGGATTTTATGTACCATCTAAGTTACAGCTGTCCTGCCTGTCATTAGGAAAGGGCAGCAATAAAAAATGGCTCAATTCTCTAGCAGTCCTTCTCTAACCACCTCCTCATTTCGTTGTTGACTTGGAAAGCATGGCTGACCCTTTCTCCCTCTCAGCAGCAGGTATAATATGACCCGTCACCATGGCCCATTTGACCCCAGCCATGACCCAACAGCTGGTCGTTCCATTATATCAGCCAAAGGGGCAAGAGGAGGACTTCACGCTGTTGTGCTACATGGTTCAGGTAAGAGTTCAGGTGCTATTGATTTATTACCTAATGACAATAAGTGCAAAAACATTGATGGTAAATCTAAGGCAAGTTTAAGGACAAATATATATATGATTAATCTAATCCAATCTGATCTAACTTTATTTATAAAGTACTTTAAATTTTCCCACTTACCAAAGTGCTGTACAGTGACCAACAGCAAACTGACACAGATTCAGAGGACTTAAATTAAATAAAAACAATAAAAGCATAAAATACATATAAAAATTAAAACAATAATTACAAAAATAACTTAATATCAAGCCAAGATCAACATCTCATGTAATGTTAAAAGCCAGGACAAAGAGATGAGTTTTATGAAGTGATTTAAAATCAGACTAAGAGGTAGACTCTTTAATATGCAATGGAAGGTTGTTCCACATATTGGAGCTGCCACAAGAAACAGATGATCAGCTGACCTGAGTGAACGGGAGGGTGCATGAAGGTTTAGAAGCTGAAAAAGATAAACAGAGCAAGACCATGGAGAAACTTAACAAACAAAAGAGCTTTAAAAAGAATCCTAAAATGTACAGAGAGCCAATGCAATGAGGCTAAAATAGGGGTAAAGTGTTCATGCTTACGAGTGCCAGATAAAAGACGTGCTGCAGCGTTTTGCTCTCTTTGGAGTCTAGCAATGTTGGAGCCACTCTACCCCCACATATAGTGCATTACTGTAATCCAACCGGGTAGTAATGACGGCATGGGAGACTGTCTCTAAATGTTCTCTGGAGAGAATGGGCTTTATTTTTGCCAACTGCCTTAATTGAAAGAAACGTATTAAGATTTTTTTTTTTTTAGCCTGTTCATTAATCACTTAAAGGTCAAAATCTTCAAAGAAATAAATATAGGAGAGTCACAAGATAGATTTCAACAACAGAAAGCCTCTTTTAAAGCAGGTGTGAGCAAAATTTTTGGTAAATTCCTTTACGACCAGTGGCAGGTTGGCGCCCTCCAATAAACTGTTTGGCTCAATTTTGGGTCTTCCATTTTTTGGCCACTACACATTTCTAACAAATAGAATATGACCTGAGTTATGAGTATAAAAAAAAAAAAAAGTTCTCTAACATTGGCTGTGAAAACTAGTACAGTATTCAAGTCATACACAACACATAATGTACAAACCTTCAGTTATGTGGTTATGTAGTGCACTTTGTCATGATAGTGCGCTGGTTGCTGAGAGGTCCTGATTGTAAACCAACTACTTTTGAAAAAACGTATTTAGTATTTTCATTTATTGCTTTTTCTTATTTTGTCTATTCTGCACACTTAATTTATCAAAGCATTCAGCTTGTCTCATTTACAGTTTTAAATTTTAGCCAACATGATTTCTTGTTTTAAATTAGATTGCAAATAAAATTTTAAGATAATTACTGGGATATTTCTAGTTTTCCACTTTTTGATGAAAAATCTGTCTATAGACTATTATCATGACCTGTAAATATATGAATGTTCGGTAAATAAGAAAAGTAGTTCAAATCTAAAAATGAGACCAGCAAAAACAGTGCTTAGGCTAGCTAATATTAGCTTATACCGAGAGCATGCTGATAATATCATGCATTCCTAATAACCATTCATTTCTATGGACCTGACCCCTAGAAAAAACATAAACATGATTCCCACCCAGAGCGCATTTGGAGGAACAAAAGAAAGGTTAGATTTTCTTTCATTCTTTTTTAAACATGTAATCTGTCTGTGTATCCTGTTTTTTTTTTTTATACGGTAATATGGAACCAGGGTCTGGCCATATTATTTAAAGATAATCTCCTCCAGTGATCTCGATCGCTTTTGTTATTTCATGCTATGTTTCAGATTGTCTTAACTTGCTTTTTTTGTAACTTGGAGTATGTTTTTACATGTTTTTTTTTTTTTCTTATATTAGGGCCTGGACTGTAAGGCATTCATTTTGGTTAGTTAATTAGAAACATTTTAACACTTAAAAAAAACTAATGTAGTTGATTATATTTTCTTATATACGTACATACTTAAATCCCAAGCGGGAACCTTTGCACACACTGTTTCTGAAACGATTCAAAACAGAGGACTCAGTATTCAAGTCAGGACAGACAGTGGGATTAGTCACGAATCGTTTATTAAAACACTGATCTGTTGTTGCAACAGCATCTGAGGCAGGTAACTCTGATTTAAAAGTAAATAGCCAGAGAACTAGGTAGGATCCAGATGGTGGGCTTCCACAAGATGCCGCGGGCACCGCCCAGAGTGTCCCAGATGCTGCAGCACTGAAGAAAATGCAGGAGTCCGAAGCCAGGTCAGGCAAACAGAACACGAACAGGCAGACTCAGAGACCCAGGAGTCCAAAAAAAGGTCAGGCAAACCATTCAGATGGGAACAGGCAAGCTCAATGTTTGAGAGGCAAAACGGGATCAGTTCATCAGAAACACTAAGATAATTCTAAAAACCCTCTCACCACTCAGATCAGATGGGAACAGGCAGGCTCATTGGTTGAGAGGCAGAACAGGTCAGGATCAGAAAATCAGAAGCACCAAGGTACTCTAAAAACACTCTCACCAATGGCTAGGGAGAACAAGAATGATCTGGCACTGATGACTGGATACAAGCACTTTAAATAGAGGCAGGAGCAGGTGGATCGGATGAGCAGTGATGAGAAACCGGGAAGAGTTAGACAAATGAATGGAATGAGGCAGTAATCACTGCCAAGATCATGACAGCTTCTTGTACATCTGCAAATCTGACACACAAGCAGTACCACAGGAGTTGGTTCACTGATGGTATGCAAGCTTTAAATCCAAGGCTCAACATACAGTATTCATTTGTTAAGGACATCTGGGCTACAGCAAAAGTACATCAGCATCCGAACAGTGCTGGCAGTAAAGACGAAGCTAGGATGAGGAACATGCATTATTATTGTGAAGTTACTGGCTTAACACGTAACAATAGCCTCAGTTGTGATTGTTTTTATTGCAATAAATGCTGCAAACTGAGCAAATGTTAAGTTTCTAAAGATAAGGATTTATGCAGAGCAGTATTAGAAATGAAACTCCATTTTCTGTTTATGGGAGTGTAGTATGCCTTGTGATGATATATATTGTTGTACCATATTTAGAAGATGGGATTGTGCTATAATTATTGTTCATGGAGTGTTCAGACTTCAATAGAATATATTTTTTTTCAAATAAATTGCATTAAATATCAGGGTTTTCTAAAAGAAAGCTAAAATAATAATAACTTTCAACCATATTGTTGGATAAGCAAAATAATTGGATTCAAATTTTTTTTTATATGAGTTGCTATTCTCTATACTGTGATTGTAGCATTTCTCTTTTGCTGCATTCATTTGCATGTGTTTTGCTATTATAATTTTTGTGGTTACTATTCGTTTTTGAGTTTTGTATGTGCATTTATGTAGATGCACCCTGTTTGCCCCATCTCCACCAGTGCAGTTTAGACATACTGTATTTTCAAAAAAGAAAAATAAAGCTGAAAAACTCTGCTGCTAACACAACAGCACAAGTTTTCCACTGAAGCAAGCATGGAAGACTGATAATATAGAATTGGAAAAAGAAACACATCCAGTGGGACAAGCAAGTTCTGTGATGCCAAGAAGTATTTTTCTAGAGATAGATTTCCAGTAAAAAAAATTATAGGACTATGATATTATTTAAAGAAACTCATCCAACCACATTCTACAGGTTTAATGTCAGTAGCCACCAGCAACAAAATAACATAGACATAACTTTATCTTGCTGTGATAACAGACAAATTGTATAACACAAAAAGATGCAAACACAGTTACTTGTATCGAAACCCTTTGAGGTTTTTGACAAGCATTGCCGTATTTCATCACTACCCTGATAGTTCCATCAAACGCAGAGCATAATTGTATAGTATATGAAAGGAAGAAAAAAATAATAAGGTTGTGTGTGACAATTTTTTTTAAACCTGAAAAAGCTCCAGTTGCTTTTTTGCATTTTCAGCCAGAGTGAATAATTTGTTAAAACACATTTTGCTGCAATTATAGCTAAAAGTAATGTGAGGTTCGACTACAAACTTTTCACACATGGAGAATGATAACGTTGCACATGTATTTGTCTAAAATAAACTACAGTATGAGAGAGGGTAGAGCTTAACCTATCAATCTGTTTTTAGCTTCATCCATTTTTTATTTAAGTGTGATTAACCTATCCCTGCTCAAAAGAAGCATTCCCATAACATAATACTGCCAACACCATGTTTCACTGGGAGGATTGGGGGTTCTTTATGGTGATAAACACTACCATTTGTCACCCATTGTCCTTTACAAGTAGGTAAAAAAAATGGTCACACAAATGTGGACCTTAGAAAAATGTATTATAATAACATAACGGTAAAGAGTTAAAAGACAAACAAAAAAATACTTTACTGTAAAGTGTTATAACAATATGAAAACTGTGCACCTGGAGAATCAATAGCCAATATACAGTTGCAGACATTTTTACAGTAATGGATATTTGAAAATAGAAGCAACATCAGAGATGTGCAAAATGACAGCAGCATGTTATTTAACTGACTTTGGTAGAAACTGTGCAGCATGAATCTGACAACTTATTGAGGTTGTTGGGAACAGTCGTGGTTATAGAATCTTACAGTTGCTGGGAGGAAGGATCTGTGATAACACTCCCTGGTGCATTTGGGGTGCAGTAGTCTGTCACTGAAGGAGCTTGTGAGCTTCCCAACAGCTTCATGCATGGGGTGGGAGACATTATGCAACAGTGAGGTAGTCCAGAATCCACTGGGACATGTGCTGGTCCACTCCTGACAGCTCCAGCTTGTCCCTTAGGACTCCTGGCTGGGTGGTGTTTAAGCACTGGAGAAACCAAATAACATGATCCTCACAGTGCTCTCAGGTGAGTCAGAGCTTGGTGCAAGAGGAAGAAGATGCCATTATCTGCCCCAATCCCAGGCCAGTAGGCAAACTGCAGTGGATACAATTAAGTCTTCACCAGGGGGTGTAGATGGTGTAAGACCAACCGTTCGAGGGTCTTCATCAGGTTTGAAGTCAGCGCTACTGGCCTGTAGTTGCTGAGGTCCTTTGGATGTATTATCTTTTACACACCAGAGGTCTTCCACAGCTGTGTTACTTCTCCTAGTCTCAGGAATATGTAGCACATGTGGCCACACAGTTCATCTGCACAACATCTCAGAAGCCTGGAGCTAATGCCATCTGAACCCGCAGTCTTTCGCACCTTGTTCTTTTGCAGCTCAATCCTCACCAGTTTTGTTGAGAGCGACAAGATGGCGCGGGAGGGGGTGGCCTGGATGATGGAATTCTTTGGAGTAGGGGAGTTGGGTGATGGTTTGGAGCTGCGAAGTGTGAAGTAGTCAGACGCTGAAGAAGGTTAAAGTCATAGGGAAACGGCTGTTCCTACCATTGCATTTCTCCCGAGTGGTGCCCGACTTTACATGTGAATATAGTAAATAAAGTGAATGTGATTAGTCGTTTATCAAGGGGGTGGGATTGTTGTGGCGGAAGGTTTGCAAGCAATTTGGTTGTGGCCGGTTTGTTGGAAGCATCTTGCTAACCAGTTGGCAACTTAGTGCTAGTAGGTTCCCAATGGGAAATTACATTGGCACCAAGTAGCCCTTAGAAACAACACTGTCAAGAGTATATAAATGTACTCTTTATCGGACGATGTTGTCCCAATATAGTCAACATTTATATTTATTAAAAAATTGTATCATAAAGTCTG